TTTTAAATGTATTATTTTCGCTAAAAAAGGTATTTTTATTTGTCTGAGAATTACAAATATGTATGATATTTTTGAAAAGTTTGATAAGGAAATAAATTTTTCAATTGATGAACGAGTGCAAAGGGATGAATGAAACTATCTTTCTAGCCAGCCCCTATATAACGTGTCATGTAGCGTTTAATCCGACAGTGTTGCACAGCAATATTGAGTATGTACCGCGAGATGGTTTTTTCGAGCACTATTTCGAGGCAACGCGTTTTAGGGCGGATCTAGTAGGATTCACGATTTGAAAAAAGATGTGAAGACTCAATTACTTTTCATGCGAAGCTGTATCGTAATCATCACTCATGTATGTTTTTTGTATGTTGCTGTGATTATGATTTGTTATAGCACAAATATAATATAATAACCCAATATTGCCGAATTAATTAATTATGTCAATTATTGTGAAAATTAAATGTTTATATATTTATTATATATATGTATATATATATAATATATATATATATATATATATATGTATAATTAATTAATTAATTTACTTTCAAAGTTTATCAAATTAAATCTAATTGAATTTGAATTATGTGTATTAAATTTAAATTACGCAGTTAAATATGTTATTAGTTTATCAATTGAATTAATTAGTTTATTTATCTTATTTACGAAATATATCCCTAAATCAATTTACAATCGAAAAGAATGAATATTTTGAAATATAAAATTTATTGCAAAAATATTTTCAAATTCCACGAGATTTAAAGGGTGGAACTCTCTCCTCTCTTCTTAGATCCGCCCTTAGAAATATATTATTATTTTATTTATTTTTGCAAGGAAAGACATTTGCCTGCGATAATTCGGGATTGCAACAAAGTGGAAAAAATGCCATTAAAAAAAAATTCATAAAAAATATCTTTAAATTTCTAAATTTTTAAATTGATAAATATATATAAAGGTTTATATAATTTTATTACAAATGGGGGGATACAAACATCCCTGAATCAAAAAGGACAATGTATCCTATCCGCGATAGTATCCAATTTCAAAATAATTACGGGCAATGTCTTTTCCTTAATGTAATTGATAAGTAAACTGAAGTATGCCGATCTAGTCGAAATGATCGTCGTATGGCGAATTTACAATGGCAATCACTAATTCCTAATTGATTGATAATTTATTGACAACTGACGGTGATTGCTTTTATAAGATCATCAGAAATAGTTTTTATATGATTTTATTTTACATAAGATTTTATATTATATAAAACTTTAACATTTTCAAACAATTCAATTTCTTGTAGTTTACATATTAAATTAAGAATTCTTGTGGGGAGAATTCTAATGAATTTTTTTATATCTTATCATTAAAGAATTAAGAGTTTTATTTTATATTAATTTTTTTGATACTACTATTACTTTAACATTTAAAATATACTGATATTTAGTATAAATATTATATAATTTAATATTTAATGCGGCGCTGAAAGGGATTTGATAATATATAACAAATTAGAGATTAAATTAAGATAAATTAAATTGGAATGACGTTATAAACGAACGTTCCGGCTAGAGCGGAGCCTCAAGTGCATTTACGAGAGGAGGACTTATTATATATATATATATTACAAAGGTATATAAATATATAAAATATGTCGAGATAAACTTCGTTATAGGAGTGGTTATGTCATGCGAGAGGAGGAGCGATCCTTTTGCTATTGTTTCTTGTTTGCTGTACCGTAAGACAAAATCGTAGTTGAGTAGTAATGGCGGGATTATTATTATTTCAGCTTCATGCTACATAGTTGTAGCAATTGCATATACAGATTGTACCGTATTATTGTAAACGATTAGAGGGAGCAGAATAGCGAGTTTTGTCCGGACAAAGGCCGCGCTTTTGTCCGCATAACGAGCCATGATCAGAGAGACGAAAATGTTAATTTTTTATTCTTTATATTGTATATTAGATTTTATATTAGATTCTTCGTAATATTTGTAAAAAGAGACTGTATGTTTTGTTAATTAATAGAAATGCATGAAAAATAGCATAATGCTCAATTACAAATTAACAATATTGATAGTAATCAGGTACACAATCGCGAATCAGGATTCTTGTATTAATATTTATGCTAAATCGATAATAGTTTTTTCACTGCTATAATTTTAAACATTAATATTATATTTGTGATATTTGAATTTAAATATACATTGTCTAAGTTTTATTTAATTTTGTATTGTACATGTCAAGCATCACATTTTTAATTTTAAATATTAATATTCTTAAAAAGATAATCTGTGTATCGTGAGAAATTCTGAAGAAAAGCGAGTCTAAGCATTCGCTTTAACTGCCATTAAAAGCGAGTCAAAAGTTTCTCTGATCGTAGGGTTCGTTTGTCGAGGTGAAGGAACCAACCCCATCTTTTTGTACCTTGTGTCTTAGATAGAGCCTCGTGTTAGTCCGAATTCGAGGCTCGTGAATGAAATTTTACAAACTTGTCATAACATGTGTGTCGCGATTACTATATTTAAACCGTAGAGCTTCAACGAATGAGCGAATAAAGTTTTATGTTCACCAGAAAAAATCCTTGAAATTCTTAGATTTCTTAATTGTCTTTGGCTAGTATTCATAGTCAGATCTTATATTTAAGACTGTCTTAAGTACAGTATCTTAAGATATCATGATCCAATCAGAGAGTCAATCAGTTAGCATCTTAAGACATTATTTAAGACGATCTTAAAATAAGAACAGACTATGAATACCGTCTTAATTAAATATCTGTATAACTTTTTTTGCAAGTTTATAATTTCAATGTCGTAGATACAGATCAATATAAGTAGCTTATTTTTTAGTTTATTTAAAAATTTTTAATTTACATTTACTCAATCAATCTTGACATAATTCGTTATTATTTTAATCTTTCTGTAAGTTGACAAAATAATTCTCTGAGGGAATAGGTTGGATTAAACGATTGATAGTTTATTATATAGTTTATTGTAATGTCAATTATATACAAATTTAAAATTACGTCCAGTGTGCTTCCGACTACGCTGACATACCGTTTTTCTCATCGATGTGCAATAATATTACAATCAGAGCTATTCTTGAGCTCTTTGGTATATCATTCATTCATTAACAGCGCATCACAGCGACAGACCTAAATTTAATTAATCTTTATTTACAGTCGAAATTACATTCGAAAGATCTTTCAACAGCCTGTCGCCGTTCAGATATTCAAAAAATTTTTATTAATCTTTTAAAAATAGGACAACTCTAGAAATTTAATCTCTTTCTGTCTTTTTATTACTTGCTAGTCTTAAAAATGATACGAATGATATGAGATTAGTAAAATCAATAAAATTAAAACGAAGAATGTCTAACGAAATCTTTATATGAACAATATAACTTTATAACAATATAATTTTTCAAATAGTTTGCAATTGTTGTGCGAATGCCTGCCTCGCATATAATTCTTTTGGAAATGTTTATATTTAAAACAACGAGATTGTGATTAAATTTGCAGTTGTCTTATTTTTGTAAAACATTGATGGATTAAAAACAACGCGTTTTTTTATCGCAGCAGCTTTCTGTCTTTGAATTTTGATTTATAACGATCTCTCATTCAACGTTCCATAAATTTTCTTAATTCGCGATCGTTTGGCAGTATACTGTTGAGTGTCGTCAATTATTCGACTTTTCTTATGATAAAAAAAAATTGTTCGATTCTCGATCTCCTACTTAACATTCCCATTCATTTCAGAAATTTATCAAATTTTTATTGTGCAGAAGTTTATCTTAATTTTATCTTATATTTTAATTTGCAAAAAATTACTAGAATATTGTAACATTTCCACGAAATTGTTGAAATTTTATTTTGTCAATCTTTGTCGTGACAAAATTTTGCTGCTAAGGATAAATTTGATTTAAAAATTTAATCACATATCATCATTGAGAGAAAGAAAGTATATTAATTAAATATTTAATTGAGCATTTGAATGATCGACGTCATAGAAATGAATCGTCGTGGCAGCGATTCGAACCATTGTCATAATCATTATCACTCGGAAGAACGAGGACAGTGTCGGCACGACTCAAATCGGCTCGAACCTTCAGTCTATTTGACAATATAAAAGATTAAGAAAGATACCATCAATTTTGACAATTTCGTTTGTATGCGTAAGAAAATTGCTTACTAATTTGTTATAATGAATTTTAATGAAAGTTGAAAAAAAAATATATAAAAGAAGATGTCCTTTATTAATAAAATTAGAATCTTTAAGTAAAATATATATCTAAATAAAATTAAAAAAATACAAGAGAATATAACAGGATGAAAAATGTCAAAAAGGAATGTAATACGATCAAATTCTTTTCTTGAGGATGAAGAATCCTATTTAACGCAGATTTGTCTATCCATCGAAGACTATGTGATTTTCGGCAGTTGGTCGCAAATTCGAAAGGTAGAAAACGATAACAGTATGGCGGTGCCACTAATACAGGGGCAGCAACTAGTGAATGGAAGCAACACTGCTTGGCTCAAACGACTGGACCTCGACATTTTCTGGGTCTACAATAAAGGTCAGCAGTTAGCTTCCGGGTTCAAAATCCCAGTCACGCCCCTGGCACTAATATGTAGTTCTCACGTAACAATGAAAGTCCTCCATTAACTTTTCATCCTTTATCACTTCCTATCTATCGACAATATCACGCTTCGAAAAACTTTGAAGAATTGTTCCATTTTCCGTCGAATATCGTTGAATAATATTATTCCTGAAATGATTTACCGTTTTTGATTTCAGACTTTGTCTCTTTTAATCGTCTTGCGGTTTCTTCTGTAGGATTTTGCCACTTCTGACGGCTAAACCGTTGACGAAGAACATTGTTAAAGAGTCACCTCGGTACGGTTTCCGGACACTCGACGGTTTCTAATCTAAAAGTTTCGGTATTCACTAGAGTCTGACTCTCAGCTTCTTTGTGACCTGGCAATGATTGTGTTTCTTCTTGAGTATCCCGATTATGTCAGATTGATAATTGGAAAGTAATTCCCATTTTGAAGTGATTCCCTGACGATTGTTTCAGGATCCTATTTTCCTCGCGGCCATGTTAGTTCGGTGGCCGCGCGGTCTCCTAAAGTCAGACTCTTAACTCCTCCATGACTTGAGGGTGATTGTGTCCCTTCTTCAATGTCCCAGTCCCGGTCATGGCCAAGCTCTCCTGCTGTAATTGGTTGGGACTGATGATGAGGTTCTGACCAGGCTTACCGGGCTTCGTATTCTTCGGTGGCGGGGGCGGCATAGGCACGTGACAGGTATTGTTCTGGAGGTCAGCAAACTCCGGTGGCGGTATGTGCTGGATGTGATGTCGTTCGGCGGTCTTGGTCTCCAGCTCGCCGCAAATGTTGTTCGGCATTTGGCCGTTCTCCTGGCGCTTCTTCGAGCAGCCGTGGTGCTGGTGGTTGCTCTTGTCGCGTTGATAATACACCCCGGCGAAAATGAGTACGTTTAAGATCAGCAGACTACAGCCGATCGCGATTGTCACGCTCAGGGCGGTGGAATACGCCGCGAAGCCATCCTCAGGTAACGCCGTGGAATCCTCGAAAGTAATGTCGCTTGGTGTAATCGTTGACATGTTGGACGAAGATTTCTCGATAGATGTTACCTCCAACGTAGTTGTTCTTGCGGTTGTTGGTAGCCTCTGAATGAATCTGGGTGGCACCTGGACAATAAAATTCTTCCTTAGTAAAATTCTTCCAACATAATTGCTTTAACTTGTTTCAATTTTCATAATACGATTAACTAGCAATTGTTTTTATAGTAACATTGCAATACCTGCTCGGCATCGAGAAGATGATGCGACCTAGGAACGTCATCTGAGCCGGGTTTGTGAAGGTCGGGCACCAAGTTCAGCCAAAAAGAAAGGCGATGGGCCCTGTAGTGGTTCTTCAGTTTCGATTTGAGTTCTACAAAGTTAATGAAGTATAAGTAATTTTGTTTATTTTATATATATATTATTACAATAATTTTTGTGCCATAAGATATATGTAAAATTTAACATTTTTCAATATTACATTCTTTATATAAAAAAGAATAAATTAATTTGAGAAGTTTTTTAGCAAAGAAACGTCTCTCAAAGAAGATCTTGTTTTTTAGAGGTTTTCGGAATTGCTAAATTCTGGACAGAATTAAAAAATTTAAATTGACAAAAAATAATTGTTGAAATTCTATTTAGGAGATTCTTATAGTATCGCTGAGTTTGGATGTAGTTTGAAAAGATTGATTTTCAAAGAGAGAGAGAGAGGTAATAATCTGCAATGAACGAAAATCTCGTATTACAAAGCTCATCAGAGTTTAGAAGTTAGTTCGAAAATGGATACTAACTGTTTGCGTAGTCTGATGAGCTTCAAATAGAGCTAAACTGGAAATTTGATGTGTGTGTATTATTTTAAATTAGAAATTTTCTAAAACCAAATTTAAAAAATTTTAAAAATTAGATTTTCTTTTGAAATATTTTTACTTTTTCTATATCCGCCATATTGACTCCACCATTTTGAATATTTGTTTAACTTTAAAATTTAATAAAGCATTATTGAATTAGCTTATAAGTTAAGTTTCAGTTTGAAAAGTGGACAAGCATTTTTGAAATTAAAAGAGATGTACCGAAACAAAGGATTTAAACAAAATATTAAAAAGGAATAAACTTTTTTACGACGAGAAGATTTTATAAAAGAATATTAGATTAAAGAGAAAAAGACTCACCTATGCTAAGATATTTTTTATGGACGGCCTCATAAGCGGTCCAGTCGATATTTTTAAACTTGGTCCTTTCCGGTCTGGAACCGAGGGGTCCAGGATCAGGAGTGCCCTCGTTCGGATTCCTGACGAGGAGCATCATTAATAGTAAACCGATCGGCCTTTTATTTTATGAGAATATTACGAAAGAGCTTTTTTTCTATAACTTACCCGGTACGTGCAAAGTTCGTCAAATAGAGTATCACACTCTCGGAGAGCGCTATCTCGGCTCTGGTATAGTTCTTCGGCCAATGAGACAAACCTCCAACTAAGGGCGCACCAAAAAAATATGGCAGTTCCTCCCCGTGGATACATCCTGGCCTCTGAAATAATAATTAACATGATGTATGATAAAAATTTAAGCTTTATTTTTAATATAAATAGGAGTTAAAGTAATGGTATAAATAGGAATTTATTTCTGTTTATATGCCCTTATATTTATTTTATCTCCTTTTCTATACATATAATATGATATGATAATAATATTATAGTTTAAGGTTTTATGCAAGAGACATATGAAGATTTATCTAGGATAATTTTTGACGCTGCGCTTAAATTTGTCATTAAACTATCTTTATTAGGTTTTGTTTTTGAGATATAAGTGAGAAAACATTTTTCTCAATATACAGTGAAATTTTATTGAAATACAATATATAAAAACAAATCAGACGTCTTGAGCATTTAATTTTTTCAAAATTTGTAAACTAGTGTAATTTTCTTGAGTTTAAATATCTCCTTTTTTTTGTTTTTTCTCTTTAAATACAGATATAAAAATTAGTTGATGACTCCTATTGTGGCTTTAATAATTCAATCGCGTGATCGAAACGAAAGGGGAGGGAATGAAAGGATCGGGACGGAGTGCGAACCTAACTATGGAATTTTTTCCGAAGAATCCTCTTTCACGCTCGATCATACGAAAGCACTCATGGAATCTGCCGAAGTTATAGGTGCACCTACGATTTCTCGTTGAAATTGTAAAAATACCTCAGCCTATTCTGCAAACTTCGAGTTTGCCCGCCATTTTAACAAGCTTGAGCGCAGAGTTTGCGTCCTCGAAAAATTCGAATTATCCACGAGAAATAGCGGAATCGTGTTTCTATCCGTAGTCGACTTTTAAAGCGGTTTTTATGCTCCAATTCAAGATCCAAGAATAAAATACGATTCAATAATTGTTATTGAATAACAGAATTGGCGGTTGATGTTAACAATTACAGAATAAATGTTGGAATGGTTAACGAATAATAGCAGTAATCAAATCACGATTAAATTATCATTCATTAAACAGGAAATAATTACTCTTTTGATCATGATCACGTTTTGATGAATTAACATGTATCAACATATTATTCCGTTATGACTCATTTTACAATAACTGATTAGTAATTAGCTTGACGAAAAATATGAAACTATACATTTCTCGAAATATTAAATAATACATTAAAAATGTTTCAATGTCGAGTTATAGGTATATTTCACTTCACAGCACAGGAATATAAAATATCCAGTTAGCGTTATATTCTTGCGAGGCGAACGTTCTATGCAACCGAAACGTTTTTCTGGATGCAGTCGTGCAGACGCAATAAGTTCGTTGCAGCGTTTACGCGCGATCCTTATTCTTCGTTGACTTCATGGCGCGAGACGGGAAGGCGAGGCGAGGGTGCGCGTTGAACGTTTAATGCACTTTCATTTTGCTGGTGACGGCAACGGTGATCGCCAGGTCGAGGTGCCAGACGATATTCGTATGCAAAGTGCACCGGGTGTAAGGCATAAAGGTGCCGGCAGAAATGACGGCATGGGGTGAAAAGGAAAAAGTGCGCGGAAGCTGCAGGTGTGAGGCGAACGTGGAATTTCAAATCCTCCTCCTCCTCCTCCTCCTCCTTCCGTCTCTCTCGTTCGAGTTTCTTTTTAAAATTCCTTCTTCGCTGTTGTTTTTCGAATTTACGGAGAGATAAATATGGTGATAATTTATGCAGCGAAATTTTATTTTTCGTGAAAAGTCGAAAGAAATTTTTAGCAAGAGGATTATTCTTTTCCTATCAAAGACCTAACGATTTTTTAATCTCCTTGTATCCCGCATCGTATTTATGAATTGAAAAAAAAAAGTTTTTTTTTCAACTTAATATTTCTTTGAATAGTATTAAATAAACATTTACTTGCAGTAAATAAATATTTATTTAATACACAAAAGTGACAGTTAAATTAATTTTTGTATCAAATGTATGTTTACATTTAATAAATATTTACTTAAAATTATTCAAACAAATATTTATTAAAATTCAATTCTTTTCAGTGTATATATTATATATAATATATTCGTATTTATATTTTTGTTTATTCCGTGTATTTCACGTACACGAGGTGTGGGTCACAAACTGTTTGTAACGTAGGTGCACCAAGAATACATATCTTGAGATAATATTCCGAAATTCCGCGCAGCGGTAATAACTGATCTCATCGGTTCAATTTTCGGATTTCCTTTTACACATCCGTTTCTTGTTAGACACCCGGAAGAGAGAAGTGTGGATATTGCTAATATATATGTGACATTAATAATCGCGCCACTGAAATTCATTCAAAGTTTGAAACTAGGAGTAGGTATAGGAAAAGGGAACGAGAGAGGAAAGGGGCCGTACGTCCTCCACCCTCATCGTAAGTTTCTGAAATCAGATATGAGCAAGAGTCGCCGCCATGTTGTCGTATTTCCGGTGAATCCCAACTTCTGTCTCGTACATATCCGTAATAAATAACTTTAATAAATGAATAATATGAAAAATATGGAAGAGATCATAGGAAGTAACTGAATTTATCTCTACTGCGCTATTTTTTATTAATGGAATTTTTTAATACGCTTTTTAACCGTTTTACATATACATATTTAAAGTCTATAAAGATATGCAAAATTTATTGACGAAAAACAGATTTATTATTAAATTCTATAATTTGGAAGATAAATTGAATAATATTCAAAATATAGATTTTGATAATAATATTAATAGTATTGTATAATATAAAAAAATAATCGGATATATGTCGGATTCCAAATGTCTTTTATTCTCTAGATTTTGCAACATCTAGATTCTTCCAGTTCTTTTTCATTCCAACTTGTGCGATAAAAAGTATATTCTGATAGCAAACCTGAGGATAGTCTCCGAATTTCGTTTGATAGTCGAAGACGTACAGATAGGAGTTTCTGTGGGATTGACTGTGAAGATCCGCGGTTCTCGTTGCCGGAGCGACTGTATTGGCGTCCCCCAGGGCCTCGAGAGTCTCATCCCTGAAAAAGATGTATACCTTTTTTGTGATTTTTTTTTTATAAATATACTTCGTAAATTTCTTCCAAACTCTGACTGAAAATAAATTTAAAGATGAATATTAAAATTAAGATAAATAAAATATAAAATATAAACTGAATTATAATTGAAGGAAATTCTGCAAAATTTAAATTTATATATATATATATATATATATATATATATATATATATATAATTTTTATTTTATAGCAAAAATAGTACAATCAAAATAAAAAGAATAAAAAGAATATTTTAAAATAAAATGTTTTTTCAATAAATAAATGTTGGTTCATAATAATAAATATTGAAACAAATAATTATAGACTGAAGAACTAATAAATGTACTAAATAAATGTCACGATTGATTTATTCGCCATCAATAAAATAAATAATAGCTAGAGATAAATTAAAATAGATACGTAACGGTAATTAAAATAAATAAAAAAGTATTGTTATATGAAATTTTTCGATCAAATTTCTTTAGAATTTACCTAATATTGACGGGATGTTGCACGGGTCGTTCCCAATCCGTATACTCGTTTATTATAGTTGCTAGGATTTCCGGCTGGTGATACGTGTACGTGTTCCGCACGAATTCGCGCAGAATCTTTGTCCTTCTATCAGCCTCGATCCCGTACTGAGCATCGTCGGCGGTTAACGAAAAATACGCCTCGGAACGAACAACACCCACCATCAAATCGTACCTGTGAATTCAAGAATTTTTCTTTAAACTGTTTAAAAGAGATAAAAGAAGTTTCATAAAATATTAAGAAGTTTACGATTTACAAGATATTTTCTGATTTATAAGCTTCGTCTTTAAAGTACGAAAAGTTTCTTGGGATATGAAAAGTTTACTTTTTAGCCACGGATTTTGCAAATCTTATAGAATTGTATTTATATAGAAATTCCAACACTACGCATTATACGATATTCGTTCACTGAAAAAAAATTGGTTGCTGCAACAATTTAGATAGTAAATATGGCATAACATTTTTATATGTCTATCGAAATCATATACTGATATTGTAGATAAGCTAACTCAACTAAAAATTTACTGCTACAATCAAAAACTGGTTGCTGCAGAAAATTTCACAATTTTAATAATGTAATACGGAATAATTAATAATGTAATTGTAAAAAGTTTAAGTGACCTCGATTCGAATTCATAAGATTCTTAAATACTAGCATTTTTCATTTACACTTCGGACGCCATGATTTTTCGACCTTTACAGTCTTGTTTACACGAGTTTTTCGTATTTTTCAACGAGGAATAAAAGAGTTATTCTCAATGTTGTAGGATGCGATTTTATCTTTCTTGGTGATATTCCTTCAGAACTCCGATATTGTGTTTCTCGCGCTATTTATTTTCCCTTGCCTCGATGCTCGATTTCGCTAGTTATAACGATTGAAACAAAAAGAGGAGTTACGATACCTCGACAGTTTCGCGACGACGTCCTTTCTCAGAAGGATGTTGTTGAGCGTATTGATCGTGTCGACTTGTAGGGTGTAGTCCTGATCCTCGGGATCGCCAGGATCGATTATAACGCCGTCTATACTGGGGCCAAAAGCTGGTGCGAATTCTAGCCCTTTAACAGGCACCGATACCAATTCACTCAAAGACACATCTCTCAAACACTTTAACAGAGCCTGAGGATCTTCCGCTACCTATAAAAAAATAAAATCGACATTTCAGAAAAATCATAACGATTAGAATCTATTACCATATTTTATTTTTTAAACGTATAAAAAAAAGACATTAACGTTTTTAAATATTTTTCAATCTTCTCTTACATAGTAAAAATAAGATAACAAAGTTTCCATGTTTAAGAGGAAACAGCGCTGCCGCAGTCATAATTTTTAATAAATCTATATAAACAGTTTTTTTTTAAATATAGATATATTTTTAATATAGATAAAAGTACATTATATTTAATGAGGAAAAAAACCTCTTATTTGATTTATTACTTTTTTCTTAAGAATTCTTGAAAAACTGCTACTTTTAGCTCGTGCAAATTTAACCATCTCCTCTCAAGCAATTAAAAAAGATATAATTTTAGAAATTAGATTCTAGGGAAATAAATTATAAAATTATATTTCTCATTTAATTTCGAAGAAATCAACAGAATCATAATTGTGTTTAATTACAGTAATAAAACGTAACTGTATGTAGAACGTAATTATATGTAATTAAATTTAATTACAATCATGAGCAATGTAAAAAAATTGAATGATCGCTGTTAATATTTTCGTTTAGAAGAGGCTCCAGATTGGCCATAGAATCTATTATCATTACAATTAAGACCGCGAGCCGCGGGATACCCTATTAAGTCGTAACATTTAACGCGATTGTGCCGGGTAATTTTATCGGAACGAGAATCGGCACAATCAGACGCGTTCCTCGTTCGATCGAGAACGATGGTCCATGTCCACGTGCGGACGGGCAATTTGCACACACGCAGGACGTCGCATTTAGTCAGCGGGCGATTCGACATTCGATTGCGGGTAACCGCCGTGTCTGCGTTGGGAGCTGGATTTCCAAAGACGATTACCAACGCTAAAGCAATTCATTTGCGTGCGACCCCGAAATTAAAGCGAATCGCCTGATGGAGGCCGATGGGGCTCTCGGTCCAACTTCGGGCGCCATCGAATTTAGCTGAGAGACGCACGAAAATCTTGTTTACCTTGCTGGCGATGTGTGCTAGCGCAGGGTGGTAGCCTCGTTAAGACCGCACCCACCTTGTTCCGACGGTATATCCTCGCCGGGAAATGCCGCCGGAAAATGTCGACCCTTTCCCGACACGATCCCGCACATCCCGCGCGAAACGCGTCAACTCTGAAACGCCTTCCGCTATGCTCGGGCGATTTGCCACATGAGTTATCTCGTGTATTATGCGCAGTTTATCGCGTGCGATAAACAGATGGAAGAACATTTTTTTTTTTGAAAAATGGTTGAGGAAGTATTTGTTGCGTGAACATAACAAGAATATCGTTTAAGGATACGTCAATATGTACTTTTTTCAAAATGAAGAAAATGCAATATAAAAGCAAATACAATATAAGAAAATTATAGATTTTTTTTTATGTTGTGTCTATTTGGGAGTATAAAAAGTTTGCCGGCTATTTAGAATCTCGATTGAAAATTATTTTATTGAGAACTGACATGTTTTGTAAAAAGAAAATAAAATGAGAAAATTTTCATTTAAATTATAAAAAATTATATCATTAAATATGAATATTGATTTTGAACTGATTAAACTGGTTTATGTGTAATACTCATTTGAAAAAATAAATAGTAAAAAAGTATAAATTTTAACTTTTTTGCAGATATTATATCTAATATAAACTTTAAGGATGAATGTGTTATCACACAAAGTATCACACAAAAATATAAAACTTGCATAAATTATTCTGTTATTACGTATGTATCACAAATTTGAGCACAATTTTCTTATTAATGAAAGTTACTTAATTTTCTGGTTTAGTTTCTTATATAAAATCGCACTTTATAGTGCAAATTTAATCAGCGTTACGAATTAAATCAGCTTTTTTATTTGTACCAATAAAACTCTAATAAATATTCGCGCAAAATTTGGATTTATTTAAAAATTATTTACCTATAAAATTTCAAGTAAATATCATTATTTTAAACCAATACAAGTCAGATTATTTGTTGTTTCATTTTTTGCAGTTAATCTCAGGGCATATTTATGGTCAAAAGTTTTTAGCTAATATTGACCTGATATTTTTAGCTGATTGTGCAGACAAAATATCTTTAAAAATGAATCACTTTGTTCAATGGACTGTTAGAAAATAAACATAACTGCGAGAGAGAGAGAGAGAGAGAGAGTGTGTATTTGATATTGAAAAAAGAATCTGCACAAAAAAGAAATTGAATAAAATTCGGAATTTTTTCTTTTCTTTGCTTTTTTTCCGAATAATATCAATTTGAAAAAGCTCCGGATTGTTAGTTGAAAAATACGGTTTATCAAGCCTAAACGGTCCCGATTTGCGGTTCGCGATTGAAAGTAACGATTAAACGAGGATTACGTCAATTGTTTCTCGATGTTTCCAAAGCATGCCCTGGAAAAATGGCGGCGTGCAAAATGGAAATTGAGATGGGGATTATATTATGCCGCTCGGATCGGCGCACTTGTAGCGGGAATCAATTTTATTTCCATCCCCGCCTTCGTCCACACCGTCCATACAGCCGAAATATCCACAGGGGAAAGTTCAAATTGGGAAAACACTGTTGGAACCGAGATATCTTTTATTGCGTTATTTTTGATGGACGAGAAAACGCGACGGGCTTGTAGATATCGAGGCTTTCCGACCGGATCGGGAATATCGTCGCTAGAATTTACAGCACTGCATATCAATTTCAATAAAGGATACGTCACGGCGGCTTTGCGGTTATAAAGTGAGCCAAGTACGTAATTCACCTTTAATAAAATAACCGTCAACCGAGGACAACATATTTTCCATGGCTCGTAGCGCAGGAGGATATCCAGAGAAAAGGGGAAGAATGGGAAAAAGATAACAAAAACTGGATGGGAATGACGAATCTATGCAATAATGGTATGGCGATATCTTTTATTGAAATTTGTGATAACTATAATTTCATTATTTCCTGTAAAATCGATATATGAAACGTTACATTCGAACAATCAAGAAATATCTAACTGATAGAATAATTGTCACAGCTAGACTATATATATATGTATATATAGCTGTACACGTATACCAAATTTGCATCGCTCGGTCTGCAATTTGCGAAATTTAACGTCCCTTTTATTGAAAGTGCGCGCGCACTCGCCTATTGGGGCCGATGTCTCGAGTGTATATTAGCTTAATTGAAACGCACCGTTAATATAATTGGTATTGCGTAATTAATGCTGTAAAAACACCGGGTGCGCGAGTATATACCCGCATTTGATATTTTAATTTATGTCCGCCCGCTTTTACGCGGTCGTTTCGTCGCCGACGATCGGAATTATCGCGAATTATGCGAGCTCGAAAACGAGCGAATAAGAATTAACGCCGAGAGACTGTCGACACGATGAAATATAACGAGCACACTGTCTATTCTGTCGATCGGTCTCACCCTGTAAACTGAAATCAACGAAATGTGTTCGAATTTAACGCTGGATTCATCACGTTCGCTGTCACGTAAAACCAAATCTGCTTCGCAGCTTTTGAATTTTTCAAATTTTTTGTTAGTATTTTCAAGAGAGATTCGGCTTAAATTTTGCCCAAAAGGGCATTCTGTTTTAATTCCATGAAATCTAATTTCATCTGCTACGGTTAAGGTTGTTACACGTATTTTTTAATAAAATGAAAAAATTAATTAAAAGGAAAAAATTACAGATTTTTCTATATTACATTTGAAAGTAATATTACTAGTAGAAATAATATTGTTAAGTAATATTACATTTGAAAGTAAAAATTTGATGGTGAAGAGATCCCTGGATAACAAATTATTTCGATAAAAAGTAAATGTTTAAAAAAAAATTAAAGAAAATGAAAATAATAATTAAAATAAAATGACAAAAATTTCACTTAAATTGCGTCACCAAAATCTGGACAAATTTCAATTTAAATTTTCCGCTATATTGTGCCTCCGCCAGAGGTTGTTGGTTTCCGAAAAAGCCTGATGCTTCTAGTAGTCATATTTTCAAAATGGGTTGGGTTGAGAAAAGGATTCTTTCGGAAGGAATACTGTTGAACTTGAAAAGTCTATGACAGGTAGAACACCAGTATTAGGAAGCTATTCTTAACAAAATCGAAGCACATTCAGAAATGAGCTCAAGGAAAATAGCTAGGACATTAAATGTGAATAATTATGTCATCTGAAGAATTTTGAAAGACCAACAGTTATATCCTTATCATGTTCAACGTGTACAGAGACTTTTACCATGCAATTTTCTACAAAGATTAGTTTTTCAATGGATTTTTCAGAGACTAGAAGAAAATTCTCAATTCTCATCTCAAGTTCTCCCGACGAGGCTAACTTCTCTAGAAACACAATTATTAATTTTCATAATAACCATTTATGATGTAAATATAATCCACACGCGATAGTCGAATTTAGGTTCCAACAACAATTTTCATTGAATGTATGGGTTGGTATTGTTGGTGATTTCTTAATTGATTTTTCCTATTTTCTTCCATTAAGACTTGATGGTGCATCATCGGCAATTTCTTAAAGAAGATCTACCTCAACTTTTACAAGAAGTGCCACTCATGACGAGACATTCAATGTGGTTCATGCATGATGGCGCTCCAGAGCACTTTAGTATTACAGTTCGTCAATATTTGGATAGGGTGTACAATAATCGCTGGATAGGTCGAGCAGGAACTCAACCTTGGCCTCCTAAATCATTAGACTTAAATCCTTTGAATTATCTCCTTTGAGGGCATCTGAAATCATTGGTTTATACCACCCCAATTGAGAATGATTTGAAGAATCGAATAGTTGCTTCATGCGAGGCAATACGTAACACACCTGGTAACTTTGAGCGTGTACGTCAATTTTTGAGAAGAAGGCTCGATGGATGTATCATGGCGTAAAGTGAACATTTTCAACAATTCATCTAATTGTTTTATTTCATCAGATGAACTGAAGCCTATTTTTATTTTTCTAATTTTGACTAGTTTTTGACCAGTTCAAGCTATATTTCTTTCAACTAAACAGATTATTTCGGAAACTAAGCCATTTAGGACACATGTTTACATGGACATAATTTTTTACTTGAAATAAACAAAAGAATTGTTCTGTTGAATATGACAACATACTTAACTAACACCCTGTATATCTGATACATTCTTAAACACATATATGTGCAAGATGCGTTGATCCAATTCCTTGTCGCTAAATTCTATGTTGATTTTTGAGGAGAAAAGTTTCTATGGATGATAGAAGGGTTAATGAAATTATAGGCTGACACGTAGGATAATTTCGGCGCGATCGGGAGGACATGTTTGTTGGTACTCACCGACGAACAATTTAGGTGTTTGGCGACCTGCATGGCGTAATTGGCGGCTCCTCTCACTAACGCCCATGGTGAAAGCGCGCTGCCTGACATCAGAACACCTCGATGAAACAGCAGACCTGCAATCGAGCCGCCGATATCACATACTGTGCGTTTCGCAAGGTTTGTTAGAAGCCTCGAATATTAGTAGATTTTTTTCTTTGTAGAATATCAATCAAAGCATAATTCTCTCATTAACGTTATTCTCACTGATAAAATAAATTAATGGTCTCATTGAGACGTTATTAATATTTTACAACACATCTTGCTCGGTACGGAAATGGAAAATAGAAGTATAATTGTATAATTATTAATAATACTTTACGTAAAATCTTTAGCTCTTAAGCATTTCCCGTCTGTTATTATTATTGTTCCGTACAATTCCAGCAACGGTACAGTCTTTATGTTCTTTGTGCGCTAGGAAATGTTCCCGGAAATGTTCTGCATCATAAAAATTCTATATCTTAGAATCACTGCGCGTTTCAAGATGCGATTCCGGAATCCATACGACGCGTGGAATCTCCGTGTCGCACTTTTCGAAAGGACCTGACTTTATCTCGGGATTTACAAATCGTATCTCGTAATACAAAAATGTTTGTTCGCGTAGGAAGAGATTATATATCGCGACGTAGAATTGAATTTCGAGATGATTTCGGGGTCGATTCCCTTCGCGGACGGAACTACGATATTACCTGAGTAAACGAAATACAATCCGAGTTTCAATGCATAGTAACGAATACTCATCTCGACCGCTCGATAGATTTATTTCCAATCAACGACTTCCATTACGAGGTTATCAGTGATTTCCGCTCTAAAGATGAGGGGTAAAACTCGCCGAACATAGCCATATACAAGATGTCTAAACTAGAAAGATGAATGTGCTGCGGTATTGAAAAATACGATATCGAAAAATACTTTTTATAGAGAAAATTTCAGTTGCAATCTGTCTTGTATCAGCATATATTACAAAAATTGCTTCATTATTATCATCTACATTTTTACACCATCATTTCTATGTTAATATTACGTAAAGAGAAAAATTATTAAGTAAATGAATTCTTATTTATTTTCCGACTGCTGAAACATCTTTCTATTTAATTAGTAATTTTAATTTTTTGCACGGAGAAAATGGAGGAAAATAAAATACTAAAAATTCTTTCTCGGTAGTAATAATAAAATGTAGTATATCTACAACAAAGAGTCGAGCAGAAGCTCATTAGTCATTAATTTTCTCATCACACGTCGCAAAATTGGGCATTACGTAAGACATGAATAGACAAGAGAGAAGAGAGAAAGAGAGAGAGAGAGAGAGAGAGAGAGAGAGAGAGAGAAAACACGGTTTGTAACGCGAAGAAAATTAAGGCGGCAGAGCGAATATGATGCTACATAGTTTCGTCGTGTTAGTTTGTCTATTATTTAATACAGAAGACCGGGATAAGTCGCTTAATCCCAATTTTGTGAGTCGTTAATCTTGATATCTCGAGGAGACGAGAGATTCTATATAGATACTATATATACGTACCAGTTCTCAACATATACAATATTAATCAAGATATATAAAAACATTTCTTTATTTATTATTTGTAATTAATTTATAACAGATAGCTTTTGTTTTAATTATTTTTATATTATTATTTCATTAATTATTTATTACATTATATTTTATATTTGTGTTTATCATTCTCAATATTGTTATTACTAAATTTTTCATTTACTTATTCTTAATTATATATAATTATATATTATTAATTTGCACGCAACATGAAAAAAGTTTAGTGCTTTATTTCCAATTTGTTGTGTAGTCATATTACAGTTTTATGACACTTTGTATTGTATAAGAAAAGTTTGTTTAATATTTAATAAATTTCCTCGTATCACAGTATATTCTTGTAGTATTTGCATATTCAAGCGAGCGAAAATAAAATAAAAAGTGATATTTTTCCGTCACAAATGTGTAACTTGGTCGGTCAATCATCTTGATATTCGACGAAATGTCTTCGAGAGTGATGTTATTCCGATACACGTCGACGTCTGATTCGCTCTCATTCATTTAGCGAAGGAGATACTAGGGTAAACTCTGAATATCCTGGCAGCATCCTCGATGTATTTCCGACATTACAGAATCAAGATGGCCTCGTTCTTCCGATATCCGTCGTCGTCGAGAGGACGACACCGAACGATAAGATGATGTCGAAGCTCGCGACATTAAAGGACTATTAAAGGATTATCGCTGACTCAAATTCCGTTGCGTTACTTGGATTTAATGGCAGGTCTCTATAATACCCAAGGATTAATTAATTCCTTCGAGGGAACAAGATCCCAGGAGCCAAGCGTTCGACAAATTAAAGCTGTAGGATCAAAGGAAAGGAGGAACTGAAATCCGAATATAACGATTTAAAGAAAAAAAAAGAGAGAAATTGAGATTCATAAGAATCGAAAAATCAAGAAAGTTAAGATGCAGGATGAAATCGAGAAATTGAAAAATCGTGAGATCTTAGGATTTGAAGAAGTTAAGGTCCGAAGATTCGAGCATATAAATTATTCAAGATAGAATCAAAGAAGATGGGAAACTATATAAGAAATAGAAAATTTCGGGATTTGTTAAAGCAGGGTTACAAGATATGAAGAAATGAGATGCACATATTTAATGAAAGCTAACAGACAAATGGATAATAAAAATCCAGATGAATTACGGAAATTTGAATTAGAAAAAAATCGAAGAATTTAATTATTTCAAATTTATTATTTCCAAAATACTAAAATACCACAGACAGTTTTAAATTCAACAGTTAAAACGAGAAATTAAAAGAATTTTCAGAAAAATTTTAAGATACATGTGTCTAACACAGTGTGAGAGAAAATTTAAACTTTATTATTCTTCATTATTTATCGCCGAATTGCGGTCAGTTTTTGTGGGAAAATAGCAGCTCATAAGGAAGAGATACGATATAATTTTTTAGCTGAATATCGCTATTATTCTTCGTCGTATTCTTCGACGAGTCACGTAATACTGGCTCGAGTTTATCAGTTCGAGGAGACAAAAAACAGAGTATTGCAATCTGTTTCGGAACCGCAAAGCTTATCGTCGGAGGACCTTCTGGATAATAATTCACTACAGCTGTGAGTTGTCAATGGTGGTGGGGCCAGCTGATTCCTCTATAATTTATGGCGCCTGGTAAACCACCCCATTATTCCTAGCTTCTCCGTATCATTGTCTCGTGCGGCTTCTCGCTCTTCGACCTCTACCCTTCTGGTGCCCCTCTTGCGCTCTACCGTTTCTACGTGACACTATCTGTTTCCTTGCAACGCGACAAGAGAAACAACTTTCTATGGGTTGGTCTAAGACAATAAACTGTTACAAGAACATTTCAATACAAGTATCCAAAAGCTAACGAACTTTCGAAAATACATTTTACTTTTTCCAAATAAAGTTATACAATATTCTGTTACAGTCTTGTGTTCTGATATCCTGCAGAACACAAATATATTACCAGTAATATGTCAATACTTTAATTTTTTACTCAATATAAATTTAAGTAGGAAATTATATATAACATTGGTGTAATGTTACTATTAATTTGTTTTTTGCGAAACATATTAAATGTATTTCACAAGTATGCAGATTGCATTTTCCGTAAATCTCGGTCAATTTTGAGTTAATTTTTGTTCATCAAAAATTTTTACTATTTATTTTATAGTTAATATTACTTTTAGCTTTTTATTTGTATTATTACAAAGTTCGTTTTATTACGTAAATCCTTTTACACACATATTCTGGTAATTATTCTTGTATCGTAGGATATAACTGTCATCTTTCGACGAGTATTACACTGGAAATCTATGGCCTTCTTTCCTGACGATTGATTATTACGATCGAAAAAATAGTATTCTCTATAAAAAATTAGATCTGGCTCTCTTTTGTGGGAGATTCGTTTATGAAACTTGAGAAAATTGATTTATCAAAATTTAAAGCGGCTAGTCGGAGATTTTTCTATCAGAAAGTCAGAGATTCGTGATTTAAAAAACCGGCGTCTTCGACTGAAAACCAGAGAGATGGTAACTTTGCTACAAATGTGAGCTGAAAGCGTAACTCACCATCAGGAACCGCGTGGCTGGTCATCAGGAAGTTCACGCAAGCGGCGCCGGTACCGTGTCCTACCAGCGTGACGTTTTTGGGATCGCCCCCAAAATAAGCGATGTTCTCCTGTACCCAGTGTAACGCTGCGATCTGGTCCATCAGACCGTAATTCGCTGGCGAGCGTAAGTGCGAGTCTGTGTTGGCGTTTAGAAAGCCTGCAATCAAAACAAGTACCGCTTATAGCCAGTGCAATGCTCCTGGTGTCCATTATCGACGGTTACGGCTAGTATAACATCGCCGTGATCACACCGGAATTACCGTCGATGGGCTTAACTTCAATCGTCGCATGTCGTGGACCATCAAATGACAGATGAGATAAACATGGGAACGAAATTGAGATTAGTCATGTACGAATGGGAAAAGTGAGAGGAAAAGGGAAATATAGAGGTGTAATTTCACTCATTAATGATTTCTAGAGATATATTTAGAGATATAATTGTGTTTAATCGTTTAATAAATTTAGGTACATCGTTATTAATTATAATAAATAGTCGATAGTTTTATAAATTGGTTATGTGAAACAAATTTCTTTCCGAATCTTAAAGATTATTAGCAAATTATTTTTATTTATAATGATTAATAACATTAAGGGACAAATTTTGATCAGTTTTTGTTTCTCAATATGTAATGGGTGTTTTTCTTGTAGGACTTTTTTTCCAATTTTTGCGTTTGAAATTACAATATGTTTTAGAAATTCCAATACACAATTTAAGTTGTTACGCTAAACTTAATTTACAGTCTGCCTGAAATATTAATTGATTTTTGCATCTGTTATGTGAATTATTTGGACTACTAGGAACCGCGCGACGAGCGCAACCCTCCCGCGTGAAAGAGCTAAATCGCTACGGGATGCAGAGATTGGCTCTGGCGAGCAGCGGGTATGATTTAGTGTTCAGACGCGTATCACGTCCTACTTTGTGTATCGTTTTGCTGAGCGAGATATCGCTATCAATTGGCGGAGTCGAGGTGATATTTATGACGGCCGGATGGCGCCATTGGCGACAGTCTTACCCGATTTGTCGGGTTCAGCATTGTCATGATACGCAAACTGTTTCGACTTCGTCCTCGTCGCTTCCGTTTCCGTCAAATAAATCTGGATTCGTAAATCTGCCAGCCGTCCAGGCTTGTGTATTTATTCCCGTATTTGTTCCATCGGGGTTTCGTAGTACCTTACGGTTAAATACTGAAACATCAATTTCGCGATACGAAGAAATTTCGACCTACGCGCTCTGAATAATAACGAGATGATTACTTTTCATTGAGTACTTTTCATTGTATTGTAATTGTGTGTACGATAATTGTGGGCTATTTTCTTCTTTCAGATCTAATTATAGACCACAGGAACATAGATGGAATCATAGATTTTTATATTCCCATATAGTAAAAAATAAATATCTCTCTCTTTTGGCGATAATTATTCTTTAATTATTGAATTAATAATTTAGACGAAACCAGGAATTACCAACAGTTAGCCATGTAGTCGATTAGTTCCAATCTCTTTTAATACAGATAGAAGAAGAAATCAGATTAACGCTAAACGAATCAGGTCCGACCCTTCAGGGGCTTTCCATCTTTTCCTTCTTTTCATTCGATCGAATTAAATCGCGAGCGATGATTGTTGTTGTTGGCAAGTTCGGACGTGGTAATTCACCACTGCCATATCTGGTAGGTATGTTTCCCTCGCAGTCGTCGTATGAAATGAAACGCCAGGCCATTAAATTATCCATCATATTTACCCGCCGACATACTGGAGATTGTTCTTCGCGGAGCTAAGAGGATTATTCCCATTATGAGCCGCGTGTATATACTTGCCAGTGCTCATTAATTTTAGGGCACTCGGTGCCTTAACAAGGGAGGCGTTACTGTCGCCAGGATCTAGGTCAACGATGTTGCGCCGACTGTTTCCCACCGGTTTTACCAAATCGATAATTTGGAAAGCTATGTTGAGTGGAAAAACGCCCAACCTTTCCCCTTTCTAAATTTCTTTATAGGATTAGGTAGGACCACGTGGAATTTTATAAGATTAAATAGGATTTAGGATTTAGGATTTCCTGCAGATTATTTCGTAAATATTCATCTAATTGAATCATCGTCTATAGGGAAATATTTGTTCCTTTTTTATTTTTTTTTATTTTGAATTCTTTCGGATTGCTAACCGGTTTCTTAAAATTTTTCATACGACTGCTAATATATAGGATGTCGCCGTGTTATTTTCAAGAATTTTTATATTTTTACAAATAGAATTGCAATACTGGTTTATTAAAATAGTCTTCTCATAAATAAGGAAGAAATAGTTTTTCCGATAATTTTATCCATAGACCTTTCACAAATTGTGTCAATTAATTTTAAGGATTTTCAAGTTAAAAAATAAAATAAATACACAAAAAAAAATAGATATAAAAATCTATATAAAATTACGTCGGGATCATTATTTTGGGAGTCGATTTAAAGATGGACATGCTAAATAAACGTTTCAACTTTTAATCTTTATCTCATTGTTTGTTGTTAGCCGGCATGTTAAATTTCATAATTAATTTATTAATATAATTTTTTTTACTTATCTACCAATTTTATACGTAAAATTTCTGGCTCGTAGCTCTTTTTCTTTTTTCTTTTAACTTGTTTTTTAAATTATTGAGCCATTATACTATTATAAATTTAATTTTTAATCTTAATCTTTAATTCAGTTTAATTTTATTCTTCGAGACTACATTTCATGGTATTGATTTCCGCCATTCCATAACCAATTAATTCTAAATAATATTAATTTGATTGTATTGTTAAATATAGTGGAATATCTTTCTATTTTTACTTTGAAGTAGTTATCTGATTTTTTTCCACCCGTTAACGATCATCTGGAATATTTTTACATCCCAATTAAAATCACATTGTTAACAACATATTGTATGTTATTGTTTATTTCCCATTTATTAGTATTTGAAAATATTATGGATATGAATTCATAACAATAATTTTCTGCAACTAAAGATTAAATAAAAATGGAATAAGCATATTAAGTAGTTTATTATGAAAGTATTTATAAAAAATAAGGAATTGCACATTTAAAGATTCGTAAAGAATAGTTATTAAAAAAGAAGGAAAATCTGTTAAATAATATCTATACTAATAAATAATATTTTACAATTCATATTTTTTCGTCGTAAAAAGAGATTTAAAAACATCCGAAGAAGCTATTCCAGAGTTAAATTGTTTATGATACGATTATTGTCTAAAAATTTTGCAGAGAATATTCGTATCTTTTACTTTTCCTTATCTTCCTTTGGGCTTTTTATCTCTTAAAGTTTTATAGGAGATTGAGTTCTCACCGCTTGTTGTATCCACCTCCTAAGACTTTTATTCAATAAGACGTTAGTGACGCAATCTGATATCGATCGGATTGTTGGGATTGTGATTTTCGTACCTCCTTCAGGTCTCTCTTTGAATTTTTGTGACGTTGAATTCCTGTAGGATTAGAATCTTCCGAGACTTTGGTGTAATGGGACGTTTGCATCGTCTCGTACAATCTTTTCCATCTTATGGCTGGTGGCGTCTTCTCGTCTACGCTTCCAACCCTCGGGCCATGTCTGGTCCGATCCAATAACGATTCTTCGCGCTTTACGTCGAAAAGAGGAAAAAACGCACAAAGCTCTTTCGCATGCGTTCACACGCACCAGAGAGGTGCGAGAACATGAAAGCGGAATAGAAATAAAGCACCGGTCATGTCCCATTTGATATTCAACCTCCGGCGTATCTGTCGCGCTGCGCTTCCGCGTCTCCTATTCTTCTCGTTACAATGGAACTGCTGAACGCTATTCGTTGATTTAAATTTTCCGGTACACGCTGGTATACACGCGCGTGGGTGGAAGGGAATAGGGCTCGGTGGATATCGCCAGTCGGCGCGGCGCTCACAAAGCGTCGCATCATTTTTCGAAACGAAGAAAAATGGGGGGAAAAAACGGAGGCGCGCGAGAAAAAAAAACTACGGCCGTTGCGGAGTGGAATTTCCTAGGCGTTGCCATTTTATTCCGATCCCCTCTGCGGTTGTTTTCTCGCGGCTCTTTTTGTTTTTCATTTCACTATCGACAGAATCGAATTCCAGAATTTCGATTTACTATTTGCTGTCATCGTGTACCATTTTTCGAATTCATTTTTTTATGAGAAATACCCTTTAATGCTACTTCTCTCATTATTTTTTTTCCACGCTTTTCTTAATAGGTACATAAATTAGCTTTTTAGCGTCTGATAGTATCTTACAAAAACTGTAAGATTAACTAACAATTGAATCTCTTAAGATTCCTGTTCACCACTACTATCTCATATAAATTATAACGTCAAAAATGAGAAAATATACGATAAAAATTCTTGTAAAATATGTTAATATTAGGTGTTGGAATTAATTCGTAGCGTTTTACAAGTGATGGGAAGTACTTTCATTAATGTATTTTTTAATGCTCATGTGAAATAAATAACATTCTTTCATTAAAAACGCTACGAATTAATTCCAACACCTAATATAAATACGTTCAATAAAACAATATTTATAAATTATAATTGGTAGAACCCACTTGTAAAATACATTTGCAAACTTCTTGTTTCGTTAATTAATAAGTAAATCTGATGGAATTGTGCACAATTAAAAATGAAATGGGACATGTTCACAACTATGATCGCGATTAATAATACATACAGAAATAAAAAGCTGGTTTTCAGCATATTTTGTAATCTGTAATGTTGTTTTATTGAAAAATACTTTTATTCGAATATATATTGTAAGAATTTCTATTGTGTGTTTTCTCACTTCTAATGACACAATCTGAGATAATAATGGTGAGTGAACAGGAGTCTTAAAGTAATTTAATAACAAGTCCAAATCCAAAGCATCGGTTTTTCAAGTCTTTAAATTTTTCCCTCTGCTAGAATTTTTAATTTCGTGATTTCTAATTCTCCTTCGTTGAAATCTTAAAGCAAGAGGATTTTAAGACACCCTGTATGCAACGAAGGTGATGGACGAGAACGGCGGAGTTTGCTGTCGCGTCGACGAACAGGATGAGTAAGACAGAGAGAAAGAGTGAGAGAGAGAGAGAGGGGGGAGAAGGTGAGAAGGATGGAGGGAAAGGGTGGAGTCAAGAATTTAGTTTGGTGAAACGGAAGACCTGGCCGTAATGAGTTTCCTATTAGATTTGGTTGCCCGGGTTGCCAGGCAACAACCCAGGTCGCCGGAACTTGCAATCCCCGTAGCCAAGTTCTCACCATCGCTTCTTCATGTTCTTCTACTTTTTCTGCGGCTTCTTACCTGTCGATGTGCGAACGTCGCACGTCAAACGTCACAAAGTAACAAATTCTGTTTAATGGCGCTTTGGCGTAATGCGTGGGATCGTGGTAATTTGCATCTTGAACAGACGAGTGTTTTGAACTAATTGACCGGTTTCAAGGACTGGTTTCATCAACACCGACTTCGGTTGGTCAGCCCTTTCGCAATCGTAGTCTCTAGTCTGAACGTTGCGAATAGAGCAGGAAAATTGAGTAAACACACTTAGCGTTAAGTGACGTTGGTGTAACCGGCTCTAAATAGCTAATGAGCTACGGTCGACTGGCTCGTTTCAAACCTTAACTGCTGCGAGGTAATGTTTCACACCATTAAGCGAACAGCTAACATATGTGATTTATCTGAGTTCCGAACAGTTTGCAAAAGTTATATCTGACTCAGCAATCGAGATTAATTATCGAGGTTTAATGCAAAAGGGAAGGAATGCATGTAGAAACTAAGAAATGTTGAATACATAAGAAATTTAAGAGATTGGCGATCCACAGTGGAGATAAAGAATTTGGATGTAAATTACGTATCAATCCGTAAATTAGAATAGTAGTTTTTAAAGAACTTATAAAGAGAGGGTCCCTCCAAGTAGTGTACACATAGATTTTGAATAACTAACTTTAAATACATCTTAGTACCCTCAACTTTAATGTTCCTTTTATTTTTATTTTATTTTTCTTTTTCTTTTTATTATGCTTAATATACAAATGTTTAATATATGATTATTCTCTTTGTATCTTTTATTCTATTGATCCAAACAGTTGTATACTGTTTGTAATTTTCACTGCTGATGAAAACTATGTAATACGGTTGAAACGTTCGATATTGTTGGAATTGTTCTACATATATACAGTTAACCTCTCCTGATTATTTTTATTTTCCACTAATTATAATTCTTCCTTACGTATTGGTTGCGGTAGAGAGAGCAAGCATTGTGCAGCGAGCAAGGAATTTTTTTTATTTATTATATGACCTCTCTTGCTTCATTTGATTATTTGGTTCATTTAACGTTAGTCGAGCAGAAACTAATTTTTTTTTTCGATACGCAAGGCGCACGAGAAACTTTTGTCGCAAATTCCTCGCGAATACTTGAATATTGAGTCGTGCCACTTGCTTATATGAATTAATTGAAGTAAGTAGTAAAACATATTTAAAGTCGGACGAAATCCGCGTGTACCCTACTGTTTTTCTTGTTAGAAATTGAAAATTTTATAAGACGAATCGATATAAAAAAAAAAAAAGATTCGAAGGAAATTAATACTTAGACGTAAGAGTTTAATTTAATTAATCGATCCCGAAAGCTGGAATTCATTATTCAAAAGTTTAAGAAAATAGGAAATTGTTTTAAGAATTCAAAATGAACACGCCTACAACTTGGGGATTGAATTTCCAATTTCAAGCGTCTATTTACATTCCAAGGATAGACGAAGATACAGTTCTCAACACAATTCTCGAGCATCTAAGATTTCCAGGTGCAAAAAAGTAGGAGATTTGGCTCTCCTGAAAATCCGGGATTCCAGGACTGGAGGGATCTAGGTGTCACTGAATTGGGATCGAAGGCATCTGTCATGACTTACCCAGAATACCGAGTCTATAGTTGATGGTGACGACGACGACGCCTCCGTAACTTGCCAGGACGCTGCCGTCGTAAGGATTTCCACTGCTCCATTCGTAGCTTTCGCCATGCACGAACACAATCACAGGATACCTTCTGCCGCCACCGTCCCTCGCGCCAGCTGTAATCAATAAAATTATCCTGTGATCGATCGACAGTCTCGACACCTGATAGTTCACGTCTCACGGCTTTAAAAGGTCATTTTTCAGTCTTTTAAGGTTCTACGAAGTTTTGACAGTCGGGTAAAGAATTACCATGTCCTGAAGAAATGCAAACTTTACATATCAGCAATCGAACGGTCATATCCTTTAAGTCGTAAATTATCGCGTATATTTGAAAATGCGCAATTTGCAAATAGCTGGTGATAAAAACAGAATATATTTGAAAAATTCAAATGCACAGGAAAGAATTAGAATTCCGTTCGAGTTTCGTCGACAAATAAATACATGCGCAACAAATCAATAAATAACATTTATTGATCGCTCGACAAAATTTAATTTTTCTTATGTTAAATTAATATATGATAGGGCATTTCCCATCGTATTTTTTTGCGCTGATGTGTTTCAAATTTGTTTGCCAAATGAGGAGAGCAGAGTTTATGAATATAACATGCATTTAAAAATGTCTTGTCTCTTCTGCTTAGACATAAATAAATGATTCATAGGAAATAGCTACTGAATTTAACATGATTTTATTCACAATCTTTTATAAAACTTTAAACCAAAATAAATCATTTTAATTAAGAAAAAGGCTATGCGACGAATTGTTGTTAATAAAATATATAAGTTTTTAAAAAGAGATATATTGATCAACTTCAAAAAGTTGAAGTTTGTAGAATAAATTCTAACTCATTTTTTAAATCAGCTTCAAAAGATACACAAGAGAATCAGTCAAAAAATTATTTATTTAATAAAATCATTGTCAAATAATGTAACTGCTATGAATTGATCGATACACATAACAAAAGTAAAAGTAGTAAAATGTTATATTTAAAAATAAGTATTTAATAATAAATAAAAATCAGTGGTAGATTTGTAACTTAATCTATAATATTATCTTAAAAATGTACATATGTTAAGTATATAATACGCGAAGGATTTCGATGCTCATTCGAGTTCTACACCTAATGGACAAGCTGTGCGTGTTGGGCGACGTGTCGCCTATCGCTTTTGATGTAATTAAAACAAGCGGCAGCGACGGCGGTGACTCGTACACACGAAAGGGGTGCGTCAATCTGATTTGCCATGGTAATGCCGGAAGGGTGAACACGCGAGGGTGATCGCTGCGGCCAGACCGAGCACCGGTCATAATTCAACAAATCACGCGTCATCATCCTCGCGATAACGGCCCGCATCACGATCACCCTGTTGCCTTCTACATCCCTTCCTAAATCCTCGTCAAAATGCAACGATCCCACGACAAGTCTTATCGATTAGTTTGTAACCACTACTTAGGATTTTTTTAATAATACTTTTAATAATTTTTATATTTCTGGATTTAGCTTGATTATTAAAAAAATATATTTGGATTAATTTCGTGTGTTCTTCTTCTCATTTTAACGGTAACCGCAATTTAAAATTTATATATAATCTCAGAGTTGGCTTTATACAGTCTCCCGATTTGAAATATTAAACTGCAACAAATATTAAATTAAGGCTCGACAAAATTTAATTTGATTTAATTTAATTTCTTCCTTTTAAGATTTATTTTCTAGAATTCTTTAAAAACAATTTAAGGTAATAACTCTTTTTCGCAAGATATTATGTAAGAAACGAGATTTTGATGTTCATTTGCACTCTTGAGAGTTAATTTGCGAAACGAATCTTACAAGAATGAAGCGTGTCGCTGAAAATGGACGGCATCATGTGATTAAGGGAGTAAACGGCCGCTTGATTGACCGGTCGTGCTAATTAAGTGACCGTCCAGAACGATGATGATTCGGTAGCCAAATCAATTAATGGACCGCAACTACGCCGGCTAATTATTATTTTCATTACCGTCCTTGTAGCTCCTCACGTGCTTCCTAATTGGCGCCTCCACCGATTGCTCGAAATACACGTCCCCAGATACATGTTATCCCATGTTAAAGTTCATTTTATACGGCTATAGGAATTCACAGGAGAATTCTATTACTAATTATCTACATGTAACATCCGAAGTGCTGAAAGTGCTGAAAATGCTGAAAGTGTTGAAACTAACTAATTTCTTGCAATTCTTTTTGAATTTCTTAAAATTCCTGTTCATTCATCATTACTATCTCAGTTTGTGATGTCAGGTCAGAATTAGCGAAAAATATATAATATTATAAAAATTGCAAAATATATTAATATGAAATATTATATGTATTTTAATAAAATAATATTTACAATCGACAGAACCGCATGTAAAATATACTGGAAATTTCCTTTTATGTCGTTAACTGATAAATAATCATATCCCCGAAATGAATTATTCATAAAAAACTAAATGAGTTGTGTTTACAGTTATAACAAATTGTCAAAATAATATAGAAATAAATATGTTTTAATTTTTTTCAAAACAAGAAGATGGTTTTTGTATAAGTTTCTTTTATCGATTGTAAATTTTATTTTTATTGAAAAATATTTCTCTTCAAATATAATTTGCAAGAATTTTTATTGTGTGTTTTCTGGCTTGTATGACGTACAATCAGAAGTAATAGTGAATGAATAGGAGTCTTTAATATTTACAATATATTTTTCTTTCTTTCGTATAAAACAAATTAATAAAATAAAGAATAAAGTTTGCTTTGATATTTCTAAATATTATCAACATAACTGTTTATCAATATTATATATATTAATATATTATATATTAATATATTAATATTATATATATTAAGTTTTGTATAAATTATAATTTACAAATCTTTAAGAGTTTTTTTAATGCCTGTCTCCACTAATGTATGTAGATTAACTTTAATCTCGATTGATGAATTTACTTTTTATCTTTTATAATTCTTAGAACTAAGAAAAGAAGAGTAAATTGAATTGAGATTAAAGTTAATCTACATCTCTCTGGTGAAAATGGGCATAAAAGTAGAAAAGTTTAATAATATCCGGCGTTTTAAGGTTTGGAGAGCAAAAAATACGAGAATCCAAAATTTACGATATTTGAGAATAAAAATTGGAATCGGAGATAAGAAGATCTAACAATGCGAAAGGGAAAATACGTGCGGTTTATCTGGCAAACGCCAATTTTCGATATCAAATCCGTGAATCCGGAATTCGGAGTATTGAAGGATTTCGCAATCGCAGCTCTGCATTTCTCGTAAACAAAGAATAAGAATCTCATTTCCCCGTTGCGGAAGGGAAAATTGGGATTCCAACTTATCCGGCCTCGTGGCGGCCGCGATACATTATTTCAGCCGTGAATAAATTTACAAGCGCCCTGTCAATATTTGATGCGATCCACAAACAATTTGCTGGGGCGCCTCTAACGGACTTTACATATTCATAAAGCGGTGCTCCGTAGTTTGATATCGTGGATGGTAAACGAGAACTACCTACGTTCCCGTTAGATCGCTTTATTTTGCAAACTCGATATTGCATCCGCCTTCTTAGTAACGCTTCCTTTAATCCTTTTGGATTTGGCAAATACCGCTAACGGATAAAATCTGATGCACTTACGCAGAAATAAAAAAAATTGTATCTTTCCTAATATTGTATTTTCTAGCTCGACTTTGTCATCAAGATTTAATTTTAATTCTTATTGTCATTCTCGTACTATTTGAAAATACAAGAGCATCAAAGGAGAAAATTTATTTAATTAAAATATGGCTTCAATTTTTTTCAATTAATCAGATTAAATAAATCGAAATTTTGTTAAATTTAGATTTTCACTGTTACAATATTTGATATCCTAAATTGAACGGATTTAAAAAATAAAATTTCCATTAAATTCCAATAAGTTATATACATAAATATGACACACTGAAAAAAAATCTTAATTTTAAAGAAATATTTCTTTGCTCGTATTAAAAAAAATTATTTCGGACATTCGTATATATAAAATAATCCCCCCTAAATTAATTGAAGAACTTATTGCGAGAGAAATTACCTCAGCCAGGATTCGAATCTGGGAGAAGAATCTGGGAATCTCTCGACTTTCGAATGTTTCAGCGCGCAATCACATCTGAGACAATTATATTTAAATTAAGAATATACATATATTGTATTCCTAACATCTAACTTTGACCGATTATTAGCGTTCTCTATCATATTTATGTATAATAATGCATGTCATTTACACGATCGTACTTATTCCAATAAGTTATTTCTATGCAATATTATAAATATGCGAATACTAAATGTTCGTTTACCATGATAATTAGAAGAATATTTGTTTTCTTACAAATTTCTTTTTTTCTAACTTAATCTTTAATCTTATTTTTAACTCTTCGACTATATTTCGTTCTTTTGAAATATTACATATCGACAGACAAAAAGGAAAGTAAGAAAGAAAATACACAGAGAGAGAGAGGAGAGGGAAGGAGAGGGAGAGAAAGAGAGCTGAAAAAGGTAAGGTTAACATCGGGATAAACCTGCACTATAATGCGCAGCAAGGTCGGATGCAACTGCAGTGCAGCGCACTTTGTCGCATCGTCCTGTGAGTTACAACGATACAGGCAGGATTACGGTGTACAGATAAGGATGACGACGGTGCGGTTATCACGGCTGCATTCATTGCTTGTATTCAGAGTAGAATCGCCGCGGTAAAAGCTTGCATACAGTCCAAGAGCGACGTGCACGCTGGATACGCTCGTCTTATTAGAGACGTCCTCATGACTGCTCTATGTGGCCACTCAGGACAACGACGTTTATCGTCCTCATAAATCTTATCATTTTCGTTCTCCCGAATTCCTTTGCCGTATAATTGTTTGCTTTAGGTAAAGAGAACCTGACAACTTGTACAGATAGAAAAGTTATTTACTAATTCGAGAAACAAGATAGAAATTGAAAGATTAAGATACAGTAAAGGAGACAATGAGAAGATTTTAGAATGAATATATATGAATGAAAATTAAATAATTTCATAAAGGATGTGAGCAAAAGAATGAGAATTAAATTGAAAATAAACTGATTTAATAGTAAAAAGAGGATTCAACAATGAATATTAATTTTAAATATTCGAGTTACAATCAAAAGTTGAATAATTTTATAACTTAATACAGTAGAAAGCGTTTTTATTTGTGTTATAAACGATCCATTAAAGTTCTCATTATTTTGTATTGAATTTTTAATATATTTGTATTAATTTAACATAATATGTCATTGTCATTTGAA